ACTGGTTTTATTTCAAATTTTTTTTTTTTTGGTAACGTTATTATAGCCATTTGATAAATGTATACATGTTCTATTTAGTTCAGTTGATATAAAAAAAATCATTGGTATATGTAAAGTAGCTATTGAATACTGCAGTTTTCTTGTAAAATTTCGACGTAAGTTTGTGTTTTTTCTATCGTGATTATTTTTAGGAATCGCGTTTTCACACCGTTTGGTGAGTGATCGGTGTATAGCCTCAATCTTACTATATATTTTCCAAAGTGATTGGTTCAACACTTTCACTGTTTTGCGGAAACAACCAAAGCCGTTTGAGGTTGTATATACACTCTTAAGGATACCGAGCCGACAGGCTTCCGTAGGTAATTCACCCAAAATCTTCACTTTCTTCTATACTTCGGCATGCCGAAGGGTACCGCAACATAATTGCGTCAGTGCGCTTGCGTGTAGGAATCCCGATAGCTTATTCGTTCATAAATGTCGTAAGATTTATGAGAATCTGGCTTATGTCATTCCATTGAAGGCAATTATCCAATTATCTAACCAGAAGTGGAGGGGACAAAGGTGCTTATCAAAGTCACAGAATCATTTATTCCATAAGTAAATAAATTCACACTTGAAAACGTTATTTTTTAAGCTACTGCTCGTTCACTAAGCTGACTTCCCTGAGAACAACGAGCAAGAAGCTCTTTTGCCTTCGTTAAACGAAATCGTGGTATCATGAATTTGGACGTTAATATTATGGATGTCTTCTTTCGTAATGAAATTATGTTATACAATGAGAGATGGGAAAATTTCGTAATATAACAAATCGAGCTCGATGTCGATTGTCGATGTTCGATTGTGATAGAACTGCCTTGATATAGTTTGCTGTTTATTCAGCATACCGTAGACAGCTATAAATTGATGAGAACACCACGACACCCGTGACGAATCACCAAGGCAACACAATGCCCAACACATTACCTAGGTACCAGCCCTAATCTTGTAAACCACTTTCTGTCATGCACTACATAACATAACCCGATCATGTCATCGTATGTCCCAAATTTCTGGCTGAATGAGATGCTTATTAGACCTGTGTCGGTCGATCATTTTTGATAACCCGGGTCGATCATGACCCATGCGTAATGTAATCGGGTCAAATGATTCGATTATATCGACGCCGGTAAGCGATCTTGTCGTATCTCGAAAAATAGAACTTTACACCAGGGCCGACAAACTATTTCAAAAATTGTTTCTCTTTAATTTGAATTAGTAGAGATCGACATATTATGTTCATTCTTTTAGGGGGTCACTTGTCGCTCATTATACTTCCATATGGTGTTTAAAAGTATCAAATTATTCAATTAGCTTTTATTCTTTTCTGCTGATGGGTAATGTGTATAAAGTTAAATGCATCATTGATAAACCACACTTAGGACACTAAAATTTCATTCTAGGAAAAGCATTTCTAGGTGTAGAAAACAAAAATACATAACAAAAAACTTATGAGCATTGAAAATTATTAATTTGTTATTAATTAATATTTTAATATTAGCTAATGCTCTTATAAATAATCACAACATACCGAAAAACAGATTAAACTTAGAAAATTACCATGTAATGGACACTACGCCACGGAACAATTAGGATGAATGATTGATAGACTCATTGATCCGTTAACCCGTTGACTCGTTGATCGATTGCTTGACTTTTTGGTTCGATCGAACGAAGGTTCTATCGAACAAATGTTCGACCTAAACGATGAGTGAGAAGGCGAACCGAGAATGAACGTGACAACAATAATATTGTGAATTGTTGAATAATCTCTAAAATTATAGCTATAAAATCGAATATTGCGCGCATGACCCATGAAATGATCGGGTTATTTAGAAGCTAGTAAGTAACCCGGGTTATCGGGTCACAGGTGCTGTTCGAATCATTTTGCTTCGCTCGACACACGTCTAATGCTTATTCAAGTTCGAATGTTTACGAATTATTATTTACTGTCGATTATTTTTTACATTTATTTTGTTACTTAGCATAATTTGTTAGGATAATTTAAAAATATAATTATTTATTGCTTGAACGGCGAAGGAGAAATTTATTATGAAACATGCATGACACCTACATTTTTGGAGAAGGTTCGCAATATTCTTCCTATGTGTTCGTTCGTGTAGTGTTCGATCTTTGTATTAATAATTACAACTAGATTTGTTTAAAGTCATCTTTTCTTTGTTTGCCATTTGTAAATACATTGACGCTTTACTAGTTAGACAATATCATAGTTAAGATATAACCTTCAAACAAAACCACAGATGTGTCACGTTGTATAAATAAAACAAGCTATTTCACGTATTTCCTAAGCAATTGGACATGCGCAAGACGTGTGTGGAATCCAATCGTGCGCGTCCGCTGACGTGCATTATTACATAGAACGCAGCAACATTTCCCACGTTAATGTGACGTTAAAAAAAAATAACAACGCGAATTAATAAGTCAAATTTATTGACTAAAACAATGTGTAAAACATTATTTTTTGTTAAATTACTCCACTAGTTTGTTATAATTTTAATACAAAAATAAAGTCAGTGTCATCAACGTACCGTGCCGACGCACTCCCAACTGAGCTACGGAACGAACGAGCTGACCTTACTATTTTTTTCTATGTAGTTGCTGCAGATCGTTGCCTTTGGTTTTTTTAACGATTTTTTCTCGTAGCGCCATCTATGTGAAAAATCTATGAAATATTTCCTTCACAACCTTTTCAGCTACCAGCGACTGACTAGAGGTGTCGCTTTAATAAATATAATATGAAGTTTATTGAATATGTCTGAAGAAAAACTTTCATTGATTTCTTGACGCGATGAACTCGATAATGGAAATGGCAAAAAATCCATTCAAAATTAATGTGCTGTGTATTGTTGTGTGTATTTTTTACTTTTTTTATAATGTCAAGTGACGAGACGAACAAGTCGTGCACCTGATGGTGATGTCCATAACAGTTGCAATGCCACTGAGAGCTTTAAATCGCAAAGATCTGAAGGGCACTGCGCCCGTCACCCTGAGATATAAATTGACAAGTCTCATGTGCTTGTAATTTCACCAGCTTGTACCTTGACAGAGGTACAAGTAAAAAAATAGAGGGGACGACCTGTCCATGACACCTCCAGTGTTGTATACTCAAAGTTCTTTGTCGTATAAAGATTTAATATAACCATTTTAAACATAGCATTTATTAATAAATAAAGTTCACGTTGTTACAATGACTTTGTTTATTTTATTATATGGAGCAAGAGTGTACAGCTCTAGTAGTATCCCGTACTACAAAATTCCAGCCTTCATTTATACACCAGCCTCCGTATATGCCGCCTCGATAAAGCTGTTATTTCCACATTTAGCTCTGAAATTCGAATGATAAACCGGTCTTTTAAAGTTTTATTGCGATATCTAACGCCATGACATAAAAATGTGACTTCATGGCGAGCACCGTGAAGTCACATTTTTATGTCATCGCGACAGCCGCGACCAATGACTGCAAAAGATAAACACAGTGTCAAACATGGCTGCAAGGTGACAGCTAATTTTAAAACATGACAGTTCAGTCTGTCATAATAATTTTATCAACACGCGCGCGACAAACGAGATTGATATATATAAATTATTGGGAAAAGGCGAGGAGAACATTTTTAAATATGTAGTTCAATACATGAGAGTAATTAGAAATACTTAAATAATAACTAATTTAATGTAAAATATGTAAAAACAGAAACTACGAAAACCCGACATTTTTTGTTTCATCGTTTACAAAGATAGCTGTATACGTAATTTCATAACGTTGACCTTATTCTTCAAAATGTAAAACAACAGTTCATTAACAAATAAGCAAAGTTAGCTTTATCGACTGAAAAAAGTATTGTCACGGGGAGGTTTATCACACTTATACTGCCATGCTACTGCCACAGTTCGATGAAGTTGAAATCAATAAAATCTAAATTACTTTATTTCACATACAATGTAATAATAAAAAGCAATACAAATTAATAATAAAATAATAGTGTAAAATAGGTTTGTAGCTCAAGTAGAGAGTTCCATTGAGTAGCCTTCTGCCATAACCTGTAATGGTACAAACCAAACTTAACAAACACGCACGCACACAGGCACACAATTAAAGAACAATTAAAAGTAAAAAACACAAATACAACACAATGCATAAGGCACAAATTAAAAGAAATCTGGGAATGGTTGCCAAATGGTCGTTGAAAACATTTTTGTCAGTAACGATTGTGACTTGATACTTCATGACAGAAAGTAGATTTGATTTGATATGTCGTCGACAAGCGTCCGATGACGACTGACGGGGCAGCGGGCGGCGTGGCAGCCCGTTAAACCGCTGGGCAATTGAAAACCATTTAGCAGGTTCTTAGTAGTAAAAAAATATCTCCATATGAAAATTATGTGCAAAGTTACATGTTTCTTACTTAAATAATACGTTTTAGAGTATTATTTTATCTGTTTTCAGGATTTTATATGATCGAGTAAAACACATTCTCTCGTGTAACAAATGAGCACATTCTTTAGACAATATCCTTTGGTGTACCGTATATTTTTAATAAGACCGTTATTTAATATAACTTTTGAAGTCGCCCTGAATGTCGGAAGATCCGGCTCGAAGGACCAAAATGTATGGCTTTAGACGTCTCGGTTGTAGTTAGTTAAGTTATTTGGAATTAAGGGTGACTTAACACAAAACAATCTTAGAAATAAAATACATACATTCACCATACAAGGTTACCATTTGATCCACCTTTTTTTTCCTCCGGTAACTCGGCTTAAACCCAACAACAAACATCTGTAGCACGCTCATAGAAATTCGTAAGATCTGCTGGCTCAATCTATAGCTCAGTCGGTAATAGCGATAGCCACGGTCAGACAACAGACACTAGTAAGAGTCCGGTCGGATCTAGGGAATTTTTCTTTGTTTGTTCAATCTTATAATTTGAAATTTCTCTTCTGTCTAGGTATCCCTGTATCCCAGCAACACCTGCTCTACAATCTAAAGGAACTCGATGATGCGTCGTCCCTCCTGGCCCATGGGATACAAGACGGGGCCAAGCTGCGATTAGTGCTGGGGATGCGCGGTGGACCCATCTCCACGCGCCGCCTACCGCCGCCGCAGGAGCCCTGGAGGGATATTGAAAGGCTGCTCGACAGTAACAGGTCAGCTAGTACCATCCTAACCAGATGGCTTGAACCTAACTATTACCATCATATAATTAGACAGCAATGGTGTCGTGAACTTTTGAGGTCGCCCTGAATGTCGAAGATCCGGCTCGAAGGACCAAAATGTATGGCTTTAGACGTCTCGGTTGTAGTTAGTTAAGTTACTTGGAATTAGGGGTGACTTAATATAAAACAATCTTAGAAATAAAATACATACATTCACCATACAAGGTGACTAAAAATTTAGAGCTAGCCTATGAAAATCATAATTAAAAATGTAAATATAGCCATAAATAGTTAAGGGATTATGGATAAAACATTGCTTGTTGTTAATAAATTGTTACTGATTTTTACATGAGAGATGTCTATATCACTGGTCCCAGTCAAGTCATTGTATGACTGCATGAGTCTGTTCAAGGGGGCATAAGTAAAAGTCAAAGTCAAAGATTATTTATTCCATAGGTAAAATAAATTTACACTTGAAATCGTCACATTTAAGCTACTGCTCGTTCACTACGCTGACCTTCCTGAGAAGAACGAGCAAGAAACTCTAGGGATTGCTCTTTTCAAATAAACTTAAATGCTATGGAATACACTTTGAATCAAATTTGTGTGGATTCTGGAGCCGTGTCGTCTTTCCATACATCTTTATCTAAGACGTAGTCTTCAATTTTGTAATATGATTTTTCGATCAAAATATTTTTAATGTAGTTTTTAAACTTAGGAAATGATAAACTTCATATATGCTCCGGAATCTTATTGTAAAAACGTATACAGTTCACCATAAAAGAGTTGTTTACCTTGGTTAAAGGAAATCGTGGTACCACGAGTTTGGACTTAGCTCTAAGGTTAATATTATGGATATCTTCTTTCTTATTGAAATTATGTATATTTTTACGGTCATATAAAATATTTGAGTAAATGTACTGTGATGTCACAGTCATGATACCAGTCTCCTTAAACTTTTCTTTGAGAGAAACCCGAGAGCCTTGACGGTACACAGAACGAATCGCTCGTTTTTGCAATACAAATATGGTTTGAATATCTGCGGCTTTACCCCACATACTAGACAAAACAAATTATTTGGCAATGGAGACCTTAGGCATTCTGCGAAGAACGTCTAAGGTGATGAGGGCGAAGATTTATTGAAAGTTAAAAAATACACAAGTTAATTGAACGTTAATGTGACCAATCGCGACTGTTTAATAACCTCAACTAAAATATATTGAACTGAAATGCTGCGCCGAAAGTAAGCCGCAAGCTCAGCACAAAAGACCCTTGTACCGTACAGGGAAGAATAGATTCAGGAGTTTAGCAATGGCGTCTTCCTACAGCTTTACCCATTTGTCTACTCTTTATTAACGTACTACTAATTAGGACATAATTTTATTTACCTGATTAAAAGGTCTATAGGATTCATAATCAATATATTTCAAGTCCTACTGCCGGGCACGAGTCTGCTCTTGACTTGACTTGATCTAAAGGTTCATCACGTTGTTTCTTTAGCGAATAGTATTGCTAATAAACATCCACAAACGTCTGTACTATCAGCAAAATCGACGCGTTACCACATTTTGGATTTTTGCGTGGGTTTTTTGCGTGTAGGCAACGGCGGCCACCCGCAGTTTACTTCTTATCGCCAGCCGTTTAAGGGCAAAGGGGAACAACAAAGTCAAATAATCTTTATTTCATAGGTAAACAAATTATACTCGAAATAGTCATATTGATTAAACTCCACTGCTCATTCGTGAGGCAGATTCCCCTGAGAAGAATGAGCAAGAAACTCTAGGTGTTGGTCTTTGTAAATATACATCTGAACACATTTATCATTACAATATTTAATTTAAACATCTTAGATCGTGACTACCTGCAAGAACTAAACGAATCTGTATAATAGTAGATATAGTTTTTGTTTCACTACAGTTTTAAACCTCGCAAATGGCAAATTTTGAATACTTGTCGGAATCTTATTATAGAAACGTATACGTTGGCCCTTAAAGGAATTTGAGATTTTGTGAGCTTTGTTGATATTAGCTTAGAATTAATAAATGTGCACTATACACAGTAATTCGAACCGACGACCACCCAAGTGAGAAGCAGCCACTCTCCCACTGGGTGGCCACCAGGTTTTTATAGGATTGGTAGCAATTATTGGATTGTATTTGGCTGCAGAGACGACGGCGATTGGGGCTCCGCGAGCAGCAGCGGCTGCAAGGTGACGGTGCTGGTATTCCGAGACGGCGAGCGCGTCAACATGTTAAGGGTCCGCGAGAATCTCGACGGCTCATACTCACCGCTTGAACACAACAAGTGTTAGTATATCTTTTTGTAACTATTTTAAGTGATTTATCTATTATAATTAGTTCGATCACTGAATTGAAAGAGTTAATTCAGCTAAACTAAAGAATAATTTGGACGTTCCCTTTTACAAATCCCGAGACTTCTAGAAAAAAAAAAGAAAGAAAGAATTTGTTTGACACCAGAAAAGAGCAAACGAAACAAAGCAGAAGAAAAACAAAACAATCAAATAATTACGAAACAAAGAACACGAACAAAACAAAAAAGTAGGTATACTTTGTATAGATATACTTTGCGTGGTGCCAGCTGAGTTAACAAAAGGGTCGTTAACTCAGTATTTGCTGGAAAACGCAATGCATTCCCAGCACTGACTTCTCGGAACTGATTATATTTGCGAGAAATTAATATTATTTCCTATTAAGTGTTCGCTAGAAATGATTGTCTCAAAAAAATAACATTGTTCTATACGTACTTACATATTTTAATACTATAGCCATTTAAAAAATAAACAAGAGAAAACTTATATTTTGGAATGTTTAGAAAATAAACAGTAAAAAAATAAATAAATTTTAAACGCATTGCTAAAGTGATTTTTTGGTCATATCACGAAATGGGTACGTCCATACTAAGGGCGCGTTCACACTATGTCGTCACGTTTTATTATCGTTGGACGACTGTCGTGTCTAGCCTGTTCCCATATCACGACTATCTGTCGGGGACGATTGTTTTATCGTTGAACGACTGTCGTAACTAGCTGTTCCCACTAGATCGTGTCGACAATTTGTCGTTTCACGACAGCCTCCTTGCCCATCTCTGGCTACGACTCAACGCTATTGCAAAGCGAGCAGAGGGCGCGGGGTACGAGAGGGGAGGGCAGGGAGCAGAATACGTTCGGACAGCGATAAATAAAACGTGACGACAATAGGAGTTGTGACAATCTGTCGTCACGTTTTTATTGTGATGTTTTTTATCGTCTGACGACAACGTTCTAGTTGTTCCCACTGTGACGACAGTTTGTCGTTGTAACGATAAAAAATCGTGAACGACAGTTAATCGTGTCGTGCTATATGTGAACAACTTCATTTAAATATACAAGCCACGACACTGTAAACTGCACGACAATCTGTCGTCACGACATAGTGGGAACGCGCTCTAAGAAAACCGTTTATACTTTAGGTAGGTAAGTAATGTAGTGCCCCAGACTTAATTTCGTTGCTCTAAAAATGTATCTTTGTAATGTAACTTTGAACTGCTTAAGTCATTTTGCAAGTTTAATTTGCATATTAAGGCGTTGCTTCTATAGCTTCTAACTGTTGTCTCCAGATTCGTCATCGCTGTCGCACCTGGCCGAGAGCAGCGACGAATCGTACGTCGGTACCGGCACGTTAGCGCAGAACGCTGTCACGCAGGGCAAGATGATAGAGCTGCGTAGGCGCATGGAAAGCCTCTCCCTCAGGCGCAGGCATCATTCGGGTAAGCCATATGCACTATCTATTTTTTCTCATATAGCCTACATTTTATTCAAGAGCTTTACTATTCATATAGCTATACTATGTTGAGAATTGTAACTTGGACTTGGGTGTTTGGGCTTAGGTGATCTAAGTACCAGTGACTTAGTTTTCGTAACACAAGCAATTTCCAATTTTCAAATCTGCATATGATTTGATGATAGGCCAGGATATCTCTATAGCGTCCAGTTAAGGTTTTTTAGAGCATTTATTTGGTTATCTTGGGTTTTCATGTAGTTTATATGACGTCATTGTTTTTATTGTATTACTTTAGTTTCGATATTATTGTCCTGCATGTGACTTATATAAACATACGTGAACGCAGTAATGAGTTTGCTACTGAATATCGGGTTCTAATTTGCATTATTTTGAAAGTGTGCTGAAATTTTTAACACCAAATGGGTAAACGAAAGGATGTTTTTTATACGCACACATGGTTGTGTAGCATACAGAGTAATCAATCAAATCAAAAAATCAAAAATCAAAATAATTAAATTTTTGGTCAAGCGTCAGTGGTCATATAAAAGAAACGCAGCGTATTGTTTAAAGATAAGTTTTGTATCGGCGCGCTCGCGAGCATCGCTCCGTTCGTAGCGACGCGCAAATAGACGTAATCGCGCTCCCTTCCAGGAGAGAAGGCGGAGATCCAGAAGACGCGCAGCGAAGAGACGCTGTCCGTGCCCTTCCTGCTGGACGAGCCGGACCTGAGCTCGTACACGCCGTACAGCGAGGCCGAGTACTCGTTCACGCCGCTGTTCGACGGGAAGTACACGCGGTACGACTGCGACTGCTCGTTCGCGGACCGCTACGCGCTGCTGCCGCCCATCGG